GAAGAACAATTTCTAGAAAAACACATATGTTTACATTTATTTAAATTCAAGTCCATACAATTTAGGGGGCACCATTGTAATAGGCTATTTAAATCATGCTGGAATAACTAAGCTTGCTTTTCAGAATGATGGGTAATGAACAACTTGACATCATCTGCATACATTAGCAATTTGGAATGCGATACAGAATTTGGCAAATCATTTACAAACAATAGAAACAGAATCGGGCCTAGGTGACTTCCTTGCGGAACACCTGATGGAGCATTAATCGATTTTGAAAGACATCCCTCAAACAAAACTAGTTGTGTCCTATTTTGTAAGTAAGATGAAATCCAATTTACCAAATTTATACTAAAGCCAATATGATTTAATTTATAAAGTAAAAATTCATGGTTAACCCTATCAAAAGCATTACTAAGGTCTGTATAAATTGTATCGGTTTGTTTACGCTGAACAAACCCCTTTATCACAGTAGAAGTAAAGTGTATAAGATAGGTAATAGTTGAAAGACCACTACGAAAACCATGTTGATATGGACTTAACAAGGGTTGTATTTTTAGTGAAATTACAGTAGGAATTAACTTTTCGAACAATTTTGGAATAGCACTTAATTTAGCAATTCCTCTATAATTCGAGGCATTTGTTAGACTACCAGATTTGTGTAAGGGTATTATATAAGACTTCTTCCAACAAGTAGGAACATAGCCATATCTAAGGGAATAATTAAATAATAACGTTAGAGGTAATGCTAATGTATCTGAACAATATTTTATTATGCGGGGTATACCGTCAGGACCTGGACATTTAATAGGTTTTAAACTACGTAGATTTTTAGAGATCTCTCGACTTTGTAAGAAGGGCATAAATATTTGAGCTATCTTTGATAGTTCATAAGGATATGGATCTTTAATCGGATAAGTAGTATTAGAATAAGTCGTGGCAAAAAAAAATTGCAAAACATTCTGCAATTTCGGAGTTTTTCGAAAATTCTTGGTTATTGTATTTTAAAATAGTAGGCTTAGAAGAAACTTTTCTTTTTAGATTAACAAATTCATAAAATGACTTTGGATTGGATTTAAAAATATCCTTAATCTTGTTAAGGTAAAGATTATACAACCTTCGAGATTCTATTGTATATTTTGATCTAGCAACAGAATAGTTGGCATAGTCTATAGAGGAGCCAGATTTTTTATATTTTCTAAAAAGTTTATTTTGTTGAGTTTTTTATACTTGATAATTCACGTGTATTCCATGGATGCCTATCAGAGTTTTTAGTTCTAACAGTAGGAACACATTCAGAAATAAATTTGTTTAGAATAACATAAAATTTATCTATTGTAAGCTCGAGATCAATAGGACTCTTACAAAGGCATATATAGGTTCAATTTACAGATGAGATAAGTGAGTTGAGTTTGCAGAAGTTCGTTTTTAATAGTTAAAAGTAGTTTTTAATGAGTTTGATGAATTGTCAGAAATTAAATAATCATGTATCATGGATATACATAGAGTTGGGTGATAGTTATCTTCAGGAATACAAATAGGAGGTATTCTAACTAATTCAAAATATGGTGTATGATTTACGAAGACTAGATCAAGGATTTTCTCATAATTATTTACTATATTATTTATTTGTTGGAGATTAATGTCACAAAATCGGCTAATAATTTCAGAAATAAATTGATTTAAATTTATATCAGATGTCAATGGAGTAAGAGCTTCTGACTCTGGCAATGAAAGCCACTTCACAGATGGCATATTAAAATCGCCAAGAACTAATATTCGGTCTGAATCATTCATATTATTAATTATGGATTGTATTGCTAATATATGCTGATTATGAGCAAGTGACGAATAATTTAAATTTAGCCAATTCAATGGATATGCCGAGAAATTCTATATCAGTTAAAATATTTAATTGAATAACATTAGTGGAATATTTGGCGTCGACTGCGTCGAAAAAATTTAGAAGCTTATTAAGTGAAATTACCTGATAGTTTGCAAAATCTTACTGTCTGTTTATTTTTCTCAGTATTATTGAAATAGAGAATTAAAAAAAGCTTACTCTCGGAAATAGAATTATAGTTAAAATTTTTTTCTTATTCAGTCTTAGAATTAGAACCGCCCGCCTTATTCTAGATCAAATTGGAATGCGAAAAAATTAAGCGGAGTCCGATCTAATTTGGAGGTGGAATAAGGCATATTCAGGTTAATTCTGAAATTAAATATTGTGTGAATTAGTTCGCTCTTCCCTGTACAACACTTCACAGTGATTTTTTTGAAGAAATTAGTTATTCTGTATGAAAGGGAGGGGGAGTGTGATGACAATTTATGCGAAAATATTCGCTGATATATGACGAAGTTCAAATGTAAATTTTAATCTTTGTTAATCTTTTTAATTTTTCTCTACCGTCTTGCAATTTTGTATCATCATTCCTCTCCAACCGCTCGAAAAAAATTGTATACCACGGTAATTCTTCTTGCGTTTGCGATATTTCGTCAGGTGTTTCACAGGGCTCAATTTTAGGTCCACTCCTTTTTATGTTATGTATACGTTAATGGTCGTGATTTAGCTATTCAGCGAAGTATACGCGTGCAAGGGAAATCAATTAATTCTTCGCAGTAAATTGCTCAATCTCACCACATAATTTTAAAATTAAATTGCTGCAATTTTTTTGTTCTTTGGAATAAAAGAATTATATATCTGGCTTACAGCATAGAGTTGATATCTCACAAATTAACATTACGGTTTGTTAAGCATATATGTAAGAATTAGAAAAATGTGCGTTATTATACGCTTTCTGTCAATTTGTAACCCAATGAGGATTTTTTTGATTTATAAACTGAATTGAAATATTTCATCTATGTGAACAAATTAGTAATACTGTATGAAAGGTGATGACAATTTGTGCGAAAATTTTCGCTGATATATGACCAAAAATATACCAAATTCCGACAATTAGCAAGGAAGTTCCTTACCTACGGGGAATCGCAAATACCAAATTACAGGCAATCCGTATGGAAAATCTTGCTAAGACCTAAAATGTTTATTGATTATTAAAGATACATTGTGGCTTGTATTTGAAATTAACGTTACTATGGTGGATTTGACGTAATAAATATATGAAATGTGTTTATTTTTTCATATACGTGATATATATTATCAGTCTATATATTTCCAATGAATTTGTAATTTGTACTGAAATTATATCTATGAACATTTTAATATAATTAAAAAATAAAATTTCAAACAGATCGACATACATATATAATTCATAACCTTAATAGTTTCCGATCTCCAGAATCATAGATAATCTTGTAACACACAAAAATTTCTGAAATTTCCGGAATTTTTTTTTGAGTTTGACTTATATCAAGACTTTAGTATTAAATTTATATTTAAAGAATATGCATGATATTAGTTCCTTTGGGAAGTTTGATTTATTTTTTCATCATCGATAGATTAAAATCACTTCGGTATTCTCAGACTATTCAATTCATATACATTTTTAATTAAACTCTGTAATAACGATTACATTTATGTACAAGTTATTATTATTTTGTTGATTCAGAAACCTGTGCTGGTACGTACCACCTACCTTTGTTGAGCTAACTGTCAAAATATTTACAGTAAAGTCCCGTTAATTTTCTCAAGGTTTTTTATTTGGTTTACATTTTTATTTAGTCATAATTTAAATAGTTTTTTTTTCAATATGAACTTTAAATGTAATAAGTACCATTTTAATGAAAAAATCAAAAACAAAATTAAGTATCTTAACAACCCGGAATTTAGATTCAAACAATCAGGATTATAGAATTCAGAATGAGTTGTGAAATGCAGTCCGGATTACCGGATTATCCGTATTAGCCAGGCCCGAATTATCGAGATTTTACTGTACTGGTTTTTAATGCCTTTGAATGATGTTAATTAATAATGACAATAAACGGATTTGTGTTACTTTTTTAATATGCTTTATTTAATATATGTATATATAGAAGTAAACAAAACAAAAATATTTATCGTAATAGTAAATGTATATTATAAATTTGAGAACGATAAAAATGTATACATTTATAACATCGTTTGTTTGTTTGCCTAATTATTATTTTTATTATTATTATTTGTTGCTGCACAAAATTGCTGAAAAAATCATAACAGTAGACATACATGAGGACCATGATAGTATTATAAATTCAGAAACAAATTATCTTGTGACTGGCTAAGTCTAGCAAACATAAACCAGAGGTACAGGGGACATGGAATTATTTTAATCGAGTGCATAAAACAAAAAAAAAAAACTCATCAAATTTCGATAAAACTGTAATAAATTATTAAAGCAGATGCGAAAGGAAACAAGCCATAATTTAATAATTAATGCGTACACGGTTACCATTTTTAATTGATGTCTATTCTGAGCGCGAACGTTATATAAACATTCATCTCCTCTACAAACGATACGACGAATTTAAAAATTATAGTATCAACTACATTGTTATAAAATAAACATTTATATATGGCTAAAATACAACAAACTAAATCACAAGAATGATTGACTCTGTACAATTAATCATTTATATGTGGAGTACAGTTATTGGTGTCAATACAATTTGATTAAATAATTAATCATACACAGCCCGAGGCAAAATAATATTCACATTAACTTCAAATAAGAAGTACATTTTTTGTTTTTCCCAATGTTCCTATTTTTTGTTTTTTACATTGTTTGTGTATGGATAGACGTTGGAAAATATCCATCACACTAACGCAAAATGTAAATTACTAAAAAGTATACACACAAGAAACGTTCAATAGAAAAATAGTAATGCTGGCGGAATGCTGATGTTGGTTGTATTTTGTGTATGTTTTGGTTTGCTATGAGGAAGGGTAGTATTTGTGAAAGTGCCGCCTTTGTTGCGCAGATGGGCGGGGAATATGATAGAAAAGTACAACAAACTTAGGCAGGAGACATAAGCTTGCAAGAAATCGGCACACCAATTCCCTATTAGATTTTACATTTCGGTAAACGTTCATCCAGTGATAAGAACTCGTCCTTTCTGGCCAAGTACTCATTGTAACGCAGGAAGGCATAACTGTAAATATAAAGAGATTCAGTAAAGCTAATCGTGGCTGTGCCTTGTGACATACTTACTCTACGTAATCAAAATCTATGGTGGAATGTTCGGCTTGTATGAGACACCATATGACCCAGAAAAAGTGTGATGCCAATGCAAATTGGTTTACCTGCACATATAGGCGCTCTACTTCAGCATCGGTTACATCGCTCTTTTGCAAGTACGTTTGCAGATATACTCGCAGCCACTTCAATTGGAAGTCGCGGCTGGGATAACGGGTGTAATCCACAGTATCAACGCCAGCAAACTCGGTGAAGTGGTTGCCAATGTCAAAAGCTTGGAAATTGTAGTCAGCGTATTCGTAGTCAATGAAAGTGACGGTTTGTCGAGATTCGGTATAAACAACATTGCCCAGCAATAAATCGTTATGTGCAAATACTACCGGCGAGTCTAAACTTTCCAAACGTTTATACAGTTCGGCAAATTCATCGCGCATTCGTTTTATAGGTAAAAATACGCCCTCGAGTCTGCGTAAGCCCAAATGAAACATTAAAAAAAAGAGATGAAGACAGGCATTAATAGGGATTTTAGAGCAAGGAGCGGCATCATATAACAGACATGAACATGCATGATCGTCTATTTGTTACTTTGTTTTTCGTTGTGTTGTACGACAACTGAATTGGATCATTCTTAAGAGACAAAATGAATACGAACGAAGGACGTACGACGAAAGTAACAACGAAGTACCGATAAACTCGTTGCTAAACACGACAACCACCCAGCACCCTCACTGGATGCAACGTTCGTACTCAATGCGTTCCGCTCGCCCTCGTTGGACGACCGCTCATCAACGAATTCTACAAAATAATGAATTTGTTTTTTTCCTTTTTGCAAAAAGAATATCAGTTCGAGACAATAGAAGAGACAATTACCTTTTATGTTTATCGGCATCAGTGAATCGTTCAGGTACTAAGTCAAAGAAACTTTGTGTCTTTTTCCACAGCATTGGTACGGGCTTTGCATTTCGGTTCCAATCGGGTTTCACCACTCTGTGCATATCTGCCATGCGTTGAGCCACTAACGACCATATCTCGGGAAGTAAAACACTCTCCGGGTTGAGAGTAACGCCAGGTACAAAATCATAGACCAAACCATTTTTAAATGTAGCATATAGAGTGGGTGCAAAACCATAACTGTGCAACAGAATTATATTTCTGGTTTCGGCTTTGCGATCTATTAGCAGGTCTGTTTTATTGCCATATATTCGGACAAGTATTACATCTTTCTGTTTCTGGCCACATTCATTCGTGTAATTATGCGACTCTGTGTCAGTGTCGGCAGCATCAGCATCACTGAGATTTCCCGAGTCATTATTTTCATCGACAGGACTTTCTTCGCCATTAACGTTCGGTGCAGTGATATCTTCGGAACAAATGTGTACACCATTAACTCTATTGGCAATGGAATCAACATCATGATGCACTTCTGGTGGATTATAAAAGCAGCCAACTAGTTTATTTGTTATTCCATCGGTAAATTTCTATATAGAAAAACCAAAAAGACGTAATTGTTATTAACATTGATTAGCAGTAAATCTTATTTCTCAACAATCTGTGAATGAAAAAGTCAAAGTCCAGTATTGAACGTTTCATAATATATTAGCAACGACTTTACGGCTGTCATATGTAAATAAATCTATCACATGTGTTGAGATTAGTTGATATCACCACACCACACGAATACATGTACCTATAAACACATATTAAAAAAGTAGCGTGGCCACAAGTTCCTTGACACACAATGAATCACAAATTGTGGCGATAAGATAAAGAGAACTTAAATTCCATATTGAAAACGTTAACAATCGAAACAATTAGTCGTAAAATTTCATCTCGATTGGTAATCAACGTGATTATTTGTTTGATTGTTCCTGGTTTGCGGCTTCGAATGTTTTATAGAATTTAAAAGTTTTGACGTCCGAGCCAAAGATCCGGCGGCGCTATTGATAACCTTCGACAAAAAAGTAAGTTTAAATAAAAAATGCGCCCCTATTTTTTAACAGATAAGACCAGAATATTTGCCTACTCTCTATTCTTTTAAATAGACAAAATAACAATAATTGTTTTTATTTGTTATAATTTCACTGATAATATGAGAATGAATGAAGAATAATATCTGTGAAATTATTTGCTGTTGTTTTTAAACGTATATATATATATGTATTACAATGTTAATATAAAATAAAAAAAAGTTTCCAGAAGTTATTTTTTCAAATCAGTAGTTGTTTCATAAAACGGCATTTACATTAGAATTATACTTATACTTTATGAGGATTAATTTAAAATGTATACAATGGAATTGACGATTTAGACCCACAGAGTTAACGAATTGGAAAATATTTGAAACTCGAACAACAATACAAAGGGAAGAAAATCTAATTGTACATTGCATTGTACTGGATTTCGTGAACCCAATGATAGGTCAAAAAAAAAATTCGAAATGCATATGTCGTTTACATTGCGGAGACTCCATTTCATATGTCATCGAAATCAAGGGGTTACCAGTTGTGGGATTCACTAACATTTTTTGTCGATAAAACCCTACTGACCCCAGAATCAGAGATCTGGCACTGGAAGTCAATAGATTAGTCGGCGAGTAGAAGCAGAAAAAGTGGCTAGAACATCTGAAATGTTGCAATATCGGTACCGGATCGAATAAATTGTGGGCAACGGTGAAGTCGCTCTCGAACCCAGGAAGAAAGGACGATCGGATTGAGGTGACATATCCGAAGGCAAGGATGCCAGCAAAGGTGAATCGTACAGTCCGATTTCACTTTTGTCGCCAGTAGCCAAGACTCTCGAGGCCCTTCTACTCCCAAGTATCAGAGAATGCTACGCAGTTTCCTATCATCAACACGGATTCCGGAAGAAGCACAATACAACAGCTTTACACGTCATTTCCGCACGTATCGCGAATGGACTCAACCAGAACAAGCCATGTGATAGAACAGGCGCTTGACATATCAAAAGAATTTGATACTGTCAAGCACGCCATGCTGTTCGATGACTTCGAAAGAACGACCCTTCAGCCAAGTTTGAAACGTTGTGTCATTAATTATATGTGCGGGCGCCAGTCGTACGTGGAATTCAGAAACAAGAAGTCCAAGACCCGTAGAGTAAAATATCTCCGGAACTGATCATCCTCTACCTTTCTGGTATTCCATGCCCACCTGACGGCGTTGAGAGCATAATGTACGCGGATGATTGCACGCTCATGGCGTCGGGACCCAAAATTGATGACATATGCGATCGGTTGAATGTCTATCTCGCTGATTTAGAAGAGTTTTTCCACGCGAGGAATATTAAAATATCCACCACAAAGTCAACGGTCACACTGTTAACCACATGGACAGCGGAGGATGAATGTGCAGGTCGATGGGTCCATAATTCCGACAACAAATTACCCCAAGGTTCTAGGGCTCACATTCGATAGCCTTTACAAGTCGTTCGCGCATGCTACAGCTATTTGCGATAAGGTCAGGAGCAGGTACAAGGTTCTCAAGTCACTAGCAGTACTTGGGGAGCTGATAAAGAAACCTTGTTGACAACCTACAAAGCAATAGGCCGGTCTGTGGTAAACTATGCGGCTCCAGTGTGGTCCGCCAACGTCAGTGCTACGCAATGGAAAAATATTCAATCCTGCCCAAAAGCCGCCTTTAGGGCTGCAACAGGGTGTCTCTTCATGACTCCGATAGACCACTTACATGAGGAGACGAACATCCTTTCTGTGCGTCAACACAACAGGATATTGTCGTTGCAATATCTGCTTGGGTGCTTCAGAAGCAGCCATGCTAACCACCACCTAATGGATAGGCACCCACCGCACAGGCACGTAAGGAAGGGTCTTCATGATCTAGAGACAGAAGTCCAGAGGTATAAAAGAGAGCCTCTAGATCAGCAAGCTTATCAAGCAGGGTTGAATCGTATTCACTCGGATGCAGTTGAGGGAGCAATTCAATTCGGAGTTCACCCGCTATCAATAGAAGCAGAAGAGCAGCAGCTACCGCGACAAACGAGAGTGGTAGTCGCCTCAATTCGTATTGGGCGCGAATTGATGACACAGTGCAGAATATCTGTCCGGCTAAGCCCACTCACCTAACCCCATCTTCTCTATGGACCGAACCCATAAAGGTCGCCCACCATTTGAACTTGGAGTTAAAAGCTGAACCAGACTAACAAAAATAAAAAAAACACACATACATACATAATAACTGCTACAACAACAACCTCCGCAAAGGAAAGTTTCAATCTTATTAAAGTCAAGACATTCTAACTTTAGTTATCTACTACATTTGTGCAGTGGTAGAAGTGTGTATTTTTAAATGCATATACAGCTTTCCAAACAAAAATACTTCGCAATTTCCATGCATACAACAACATTATGAAGTAAATAACAATTATATGTGAGGAGTGGCAAGAAGTGAAGAAGTATACATGTTTACGAATAAACAACGGAAACGGCTTTATTACAGTCATGTGCACAATATAAAAGTATTATTTAAATTAACGTTAACTCATTTGACATTGCGATGAAACAGAAAAAGATGGATGTATTGTCTAAGTAAGGATGTATTGTCTAAGTAATGAGGGAATTTGTAGGTGATAAATAAGATTATATTATAAAAAGCTGTTATACGAAGTTTACTATTGTTATTATTATTTACATATTATTTTGACATAGTGCCGGTTATTGGATACTCAATGATAACTGCACAATTTTTCTCAAAATCTTAAAGGATCAAGTATTTTGTAAACTTTAAGAATTTTTGTCCTTGAAGTTAAAATAGTTAATTAAATAATAATACAAAAACGTTTTTCAGAGAACAAATTCGGGGAATATATTCTAATAGAGATATGTATATAATACAACAATATATACACATTTTTATATCGCTTGGATTGAACAATGCTTGGTACTGGAATTATATACATAACCTACTTTTGACCACCAACTCTATTGATCTATTCATCAATATACGTCTTATCCTGTAATTACAATATTTATACACACTTATGTCTATAATTTACAATATACAAATGACAATGAAAAGTAGAAATATATACAGCAAGTAAAAATGTTAATTTAAGGCAAGGCAATCTTTCATAACGAAAGCTATTTAAATGTTGGCAGCAATTTATTCAATAAAAAAACTACAAATTTATTTGCATTGTAACAATCAAATAACAACTGTCCAAATGTTTAGCATACAGATTTATTAGCTGGTATGACAATTTAATGGGCTTGTCGTAGTGCTTGTCGGACATACCCACAATACGCGAAATAATTTGCGCTAAGTGCGCCATAAATCGTTCTTTCGAGAAGGTATCAAATCAATGAATGTGTTTATCCCAAACGATATCACGGAAAGCATAATAAATGTTTCAACGCGAAAATAACAAATATATTATTTCGTGCTGAAATGGAAGAAAATTAACTGATTAGATTAAATTTGACATAAAAAAAAACATTTTTAATTTCGAAAAACTGCATATTTCGACAGTAGGAATTCGTCGTATTAAGTAAATGGTTCAATCATGTACCTATGATTATTATTATTTTTTAACATGATTAATTCTAGTTGTATTCCAATGGATGTTCGGATCATAGCATTGATAAAAAGTTGTGGTCAGTGTCTGTATATTTATGGCATTTTCTAATTAGAGAAAATTACGCAAATATAAATTATAAATGACGATATACAATTATAGAAACATAAAACATATTGTGATGCTGTTGGCTATAAAAATATCTTTTAGCATATATAACAGCTATATTTGTGTTTGACACAAATTCGATTTGAAAAGATTTATTGCCATCGTTGACGGCATTGCCATTAATACATAGATCTACACTTTTCGTTCAAAATGTTACTAACAAATGGTTAAATACAAATTTAAAGTAAAAGACTAACGAAAAACGGGTTTAAAATGCCTTTAAAAGAAGTGCAGAAATGTCAGGAAATAGACAGAAAATCAAACTATAAACAAAACAAAACTATATCTTATTTGAAGGTGGAAATTATTTGTCCACTCCTTCTGGTACCTTATTACTTTGAAGAAAATTAAATATGTTATAATGTGAACGGATTATCTTTGTCAAAAATCCTATGAATCGGAAAATGGGAATTTATTTCATAATTGTTCAATATGAAATAAGAGTAAAAACTATTTTAACGTGTTTTGTTTACATTTTTCGGTGACAGCGAAATGTCGCTTACATTAAAATTTCATATTACCATTACGGTGATTTAAACTGCTGTATAATTTTCAACAAATGATATATTTTAATAAATTTTTGAGGAATCATTCCTAAGGTGTTTTCACTCATTATTTATGAAACTGTTATACTGTTTCATATACATAATTTGTATATATATAAATATATATATATTTAAAGTAATAAGATCAATAGTAAGTATTCGAAATTATATATACATTAAAGGAATATTTATTAAAATGAATGTTTAAATAGTAATAACCCTAACACAATTTCATAAAAAATATGTGGAAACTCATAAATTAATTTTACTAGCATAAATGAGCGGTATACCAAAATAAATTTGTCTCCAACATATTTGTTTTATCGCCAAGTAATATAGGTGAAGTGGTTAGAATAGATTTGGTTGGGATGCAAAAGGGGAGTTTACTCCACCACATTTCCGGAAATCGGACATGCAATTAAGCCAGACATGGCCTTTCAATACTTCTATAAATTCTGTGTCCAGAGTACTTCAGTCTTTTCTCATTACAACTCCTAGTGTCATTACGTATACATACACAAAATATGTATTTTAATTTTATAGGAAAAGCCACTATGGGAATATAAATGTAATCAGTCGGTAGGTACACCACACACTGTAATAGTTATACAAAGGAAATAAAGTCATTCAGCTATATCGCAGGTTATCTCAGTAATATTTTAACTTATATCTATATTGTAACAACATTTGACTGAATTCTATCTAATGTAGACTTTATTTTTGTTTTTATATCACATAAGTTGACAGTAGCTGTATACATGCAGTATTTTATCGGTTAACTATAGCAAATGCTTCTTACTCTATGATGAGGTATTTTCAGCTTCTATTTATTTTTAGTTAGTTAGTTAGTTTGAAAAGAGGGGTGGTTTAAAACCACCACATGTCCATTATGGGACATACACTTAAGCCATAGTAGGCCTGTTGTGCGCTCTAGGAAGGAAAAGTATTTAGATTGGAATTATTTTTTTAAGTATTTTGTTTGGTCTCCCTATTCTTCTAGGAATTCTGTGTTTTTACAGAAGTCCTTTAATATTTTCCATTCACACCCCCTTAGGTCATTAAGTTCAGGAATAGTGTCGGTTTTCAAGAATTGGGTTCGGATGAATGCAAAAGCTGGACAGTGGCATAGAAAATGTTCCAACGTTTCGTTGTCTTCCCCACACGCTCTGCACCTGCTGCTTCCCGAACACCCAATCTTGTGTAAATGTGACTGCAGGTTAAGGTGTCCTGTGAGAATGCCTATCAGTCTGCTTAGTTCTTTCTTGTTTAGCGTGAGTATTTGCTTAGTCTTATCCTCATTTGGGTCTCCCCATAAGATTTTTGTGTTTTTTCCAGTCCTCTCGTTATTCCACAGTGTTTTGTGCGCCTCTTTCGCCCATGACCTCTTTTCTAGACGTGAAGCGCTGAAAGGTTTTGCACTGTTCACATCTATGTTGATTAGGTCCGTAGCACGTCTGGCGAGTTGGTTGGCTATCTCGTTTCCTATGACTCCTGAGTGACCCGGTACCCATATTATACGTACAAGACCGTGTCGTGAGAAGTTGTTTATTGTTTTTATGCATTCCAGTACGGTTTTTGATGTAACTGTCTTGGATGTTATTGGATGTTATATTATTTTTAAACGTCTTAATAGAATCCTATCAGCGCTCAATAAGTAATCAAGCATATGATAAATTGTTTAATAGAGATTGTGTTATTCAAGATGTACTGGTATTGCAATTTTAAAATGTAATGCTATGTTCCAGACCCTGCAACCTAGATTCCATTAATATTGACCATGTAATATTAATGGAATCTATTAATCTATTATTAACGGAATCCGTCTCCATGAAGATAAAGAGCAAATAGAGACAATCGAACGTCTACTATGCAGATGCCAATACTATAACATTCATTCTCTGCCGTAGAACCTATTACCATTCATGGCTTTGCCACAATAAACAAAATTGTTAGGTACATTGAAGATTTAAGTAGTTTTCGATTAATATAAAACATGAATATGATATGCATCGAATTTGTGTAATAGGGAAGAGGGGACACCTTTGAAAATGTTTTGCTTTCAAACTTCATGTACATATGTAACCTTCACACTGAATATAGGTACATATGATATACCTTACGTTCGATTTAAATATTTTGTTACTGTTTAATGGACGAAATATATTTTATACATACATATCAGAAATATAATTATTTAAAAAATAGATCAAAACGTATTAGCTAATTTTTAATGAAACATAAAAACAAATATAGTGACAATTATAGTTACTGAAACCAGTAATATTATTATTACATATCACTAAATTACGGTTTCATTTAAAAGCTATCCGTTATAAGCCTAAGTCACTGAGTAAATATTAAATAAAAAATACTCATGCACACTTTCTACTTAAAATGTACCATAGGGACTATGTAACTTTCTTTTACATTCATTGGTTCACGCTAAAGCGAAATTAAATTTTAAATTCTCTCTATCTTTTGCAACTGACAATAGCATTCCGACAAAGCCACGATGTACGACGGTATACTTAATTATTATGTGTCACCAGGAAGAATAATTTATTGTAATTTAAACAACAAGTGAACCGATGTAAAAAACAACAAAAACATTATAACTTTCGTTGTACAAATGGATTGACTTATAGAATATAGAACGGTAATCACTTGGTCTGATCCCGTACTGCAAGAATCTACTAGATTTTACTGTTTTCTTCGACATCATATACGAAAATTCGTTATCGTAGTAAAAAGTAGTAGATTCTTGCTGTACGGGAACAGACTATTTGTATGACATGATCGATCTACTTTACCTTAAATTGAACATAATTCAGGTTCCAGGATGGCCGAATCGACGTTATAATTTGTTTAGCACCTTCAATAACGTCATTTTCATCAATGTGTATTGGAACAAATGGTACATTTGAGCAGGATGGCGAAGTTACAGCTGAGGAATTCTTAATGCCTGAACATGTTTTTTGATCTGTAGATGAGTTAGTGACCACTTTGTTGGGAACACGTACGATACCAGCAGATGTAGTGTTCTCTGTATAGCAATTTAACTTGGTTTCTGTGCCCATGCTAGTCTAAATGCGACAAATGATAATTTAGATAAAATTACAGTAAAATCTGTGCTTTGGCGCCAAACGAGTAACCAATTCCAATCAGTGTTTTTTGTTTTGCTCCGATATTTATCGAACGACTTTTGTTTTGCTCTGATTCAGGAATATATGTATGTTTTGTTGTTTACACCACCACCACGAATATATTTTTCTTTGATTCCGTTGCTCTTGTTATTGTTGAATAAATTTCGTCATAAGACGAAGTTCAATCTTTTTACACACAAAAACAAACGGACGCACAAACGATATTTTTTGCGCAGATTTGTTGTTCCTTCTTCCCGTCTATGTACTAACACGACGTTCTGTTACCTCACGCCACCACGAAAATGAGTGTACGGCAAATTACCAAAGTTTTTTTCTTTAATCTATTTTTATCGATTTTCCACGTAATATTTTTAAAAAGGTTCATAGACGAAATGTGTAGCCTTGTTTATTTTTTTGGTGTTTTCTTTCTGGGATTTGTGGGATTTGTTTAGCAATGTATATTGATTTTGATAAATTGAAAATGCGAATGATTTATAAAAACAAACGCATGAACGGCTGCTAATGCAAATAGCTTATCAAGGAAAAATAATATGTATAAAACTTTTTTAAATACAAAAAACGAATCGCACACAGCTCTAAAACATTGAAACAACAACCCTCTATGAAATCCGCTTAAGAACTGAAAGGAAATCTGGTAGAGTTGGAACGAACTAGTTCATTGGTACTATTCCGAGAAAGGAACGATCGGAACTAGTTCCAGCTCTTTAGGGTCGTACCTAAATTCATGCGTATGCGTACGAATTTATTCACCTCAAAAGTTAAATAAACGTATTTCAATGAATGCTACCCAAATACGCATTGCGTATCCAAATATAAAGTTGAAATTGTTCAACTTTGACAATGCGTATTTTGAAATTTTTGTCCTTTGAAAATAGAATTTCAGTGATTGAAAAAATTGTGTTTCTATAAAGCTAAACGTTTTTTGATCAATTAAAATGTTGTTTTTGTTTTCGTCCATTTTCGCCGTTTTCAGTTGGTACAGATTCAAATAAAGTCCTTGCGTATTTGGGTAATACGGACGTGTAACAAACCCTATAAAGGTGAGAAGGTGATTAGTTTTGTACGGAGCGCAATAAATTAGGTACGTCCCTTAATTAATATAGTTCCTATCTCTGATCCAGTTCCATTTTTGAACTATTTGGATCAAAGAAACTATTTGGAGCAAAGGAACTATACTATGTAGGAGTCGGAACTGTATGGAGCAAAGGAATTGTATGGAGTAAAGGAATTATATGGAGCAAAGGTACAATATGGATCAAAGGTACTATACGGTTGTACAATGAGAGGGAAGCCTCCAAGACACCAGCCTTAATAAAATTCGCTTGTTAATCGTCGTTCTGCCAAGACTCAAGCGACGTCGTACGCAAACCTTCGCCAACAAATGGTCTGTTCCAGTACTTTTTAATAGTAAATCTAGTAAAAGGGAAACATTTCAAAATAAGTCTCAGAGTACAAAATAATTTGAAAATTTCGGGAACGCAAATCTAGTAAATATGCCAAAATTAGATGGCAATACTTCAAAATCAAATTTCTCAAGTAAAAAGTTTACAAAGATAACGCCATTTTGTGCTCTCTTAAATTTAATTTGCAAAACATGTAAAATGAGTAGATTCTTTTAGGTTCTGGAACGGAACAATTGTTTGGTATGCAGATAATAAATAAATAGTTTTGGTATTCAACAAGGTGTATTTATGGTGTTTTTACACGATATGTATTTTACTATGTGCTGTCACTTATTTCATCCATATGTAATTCCTTATGTGTGTCAAAATTAGCGGCGTACACAAAACATTTATTTTTGTGTTCAAATCGGCATATGTATTTTACATATGACATAACCTATAAACAAAAAAACACTTTTATTTTTTTCTTAAATCAACATAATTTTTTTTATTAAACACCTACAAACGAAATAATAATTTGTAATTGTTGCCTTTTCATCCTTTTCTTGGACTTGCAATTGAAATATTTTCTTCCAACAATGTGTTTCATTCAAACAGCTGATTTCCTTATGTTTCACATACGAAAATAGGGCGCGTCCTATTCGGAAAAAATACATATGTAATTGCATATCGTTTTGACACATTGAAATTTCCGTATGTTTCACATGACGAGTTCGATTTCCATATGCAAAAAAGTGACAGCACATATGTAAAATACATATCGTGTAAAAACACCATTAATAAGGTGTATGCATCAGCTACAACAACTAACATTTTACAAAAACAACATTGCTGTTATAGAAATTAAATTGTTTACAATGGTAAACAGGTAAAGCCATTTTGTTTTGTGCTCTCTTAAATTTGATTCAATGTTTTGCCAGTTTTATGGGTTCAGGAACGGTTTTCGAGTAAAAAGTTGTAAAACTTGTAAAATTAGTAGATTATTTTCGGTTCTGCAACGAAGCTAAAATAAAAACGACGACTTAAAAAAATGAAAAACGTTCCACCTGCTAACGAATGGGAGGAGAAGACAAAATGGCCGATAAAGATGAACTCAAAATGGTATAACCGAAAGTTTACGAATGAGGTGGGATGGAGACTAAATGGAAAACCGTGTTGTTTACGAATGAGGTTTAGGCAAATTATGATTAGGGATAAGTAAATCGACTTTCGATTAATCGACTTTTTGTTTTGAAAAGTCCATGTCCCAATTATAAGGGCGAATGTTTAATTCACCATGATTTCTATTGCCATGTTCTGACGAGCATTCGAACAACGTAGTTCGCTCTCAGAATTACCTATATGAATTAACCCGTTCATACAACACTATTCTTCTCAACATATTTGTGTGTATTACCTATGAATTTAAATAGAAACAATTATTCTCTTTCTCCTGAATATAGTCAGAACCCATACCTATTTACCTTTTATTCATGTTTTCCATTTTTTCTGAAATTTTTTTTGTTTTTAATATATTTTTTATATTTTCTCAATTCAAATGTCACATACTGTCACATATACAAATTTGGAGAATTTTTTGTTTGAGTTTCGCCATATTTGTTTCTTGTTTTGTACGCTAATTAGAATCAAGGGAAAAGAAATGCATATCGCATCATGCAGAAAACGAAATTTACATCCTGCTACATATATAAAAACTATACAATTTTTAACTTTTCATTCATCATTTTCAATTTTACTGAAAAGGTTTGAAAATTTTATAAATATTTGCATGCTGTCAAAATTAATTTATTTTCGATAAATTCTCTGAATTGTTAGGAATGGGACAAATTTCTTGGTTATTCAGAGAGTGATTCCAATTGAACAACGTACAAAATTCGGTGTTCGCTCAGACATTTTTATATGGGGAAATAAGTAATTACCCAGTGGGAAAATGTAATCGATGGTAAACGAACGGGTAATGCACAGCCACTATGATTTGTTGATTACAGTATGCATTATCCGTAACACGCTGCATGTCCTACGAAAATAATATATTCCCCCATACTATCTATATAATGCATAATGTAATCGATGTGTCATAATGTATTATTTTATAGGTCCTTAGTAATATGTGAAATAATTTATTCTCCGGTTTTCATTAAATAATTTGTTGGTTTAAATGAAAAACATTTGTTTTTATTCATATATTTTATAATCACAAATATAACGATTTTACATATAGTTTTAAAAGGAATATAAAACGTATTCACAGAATATTTTTGGGTACAGGCAATACAAATATTTCCATTATTGTTATCTGAAAAAATGTTGCAATAATAAAAAGGAATATTTTATTATGATTTCATTACTTACTCTTTTTAAGATCAGATTCCAATTGATGGGATTGCTGTCCAAGGAGGGTATCCAGTTTTTTGAAATTATGTTAAGGATTAATAATTTCACAATTTGTATTTTTTTCTTTATTCACTTCATGTACACAATGTTGTTTATTCTTTTTGCTAATAATTTACCACCGACTTTAACAAAATTACGTCTTTGTTGGTGCACGACACATACAAAACTGACAAATTTACAATCCGACATGAGAGAGTCGACAGATAACGGGACTTCAAAAATAAAAATCAAGAAAAAAGTGAAACATTTCATTACCTTGTCGTATCCTTTGGGAAACGCTAGGTAATTAGTACGAATTTTTTGTCAATTGAAATTACCCTCTCGTTACCTTTTGGATATATTATATAATGTATCATCTATAATGTCTTTAATAATTCAACTTTTTGCTCAATTATATTATTTTCTCGATTCTTCCGGATACATTATATAATGTAATGATTATAATGCATTACTAAATCGATTCTCAATGTAATACGTTCCCACTTTTCCCACTGGGTACTTCATAATTAAGGGTCGAACAATGAGAGAGCGAACGACGCTCGTCTGTACATGGCATATGATACAATCACGGTATAATTTTTACAAGGTAGGGCACAGCAACCAACTGATTACAATTTTTTCTCAAGGTGGCTTGTTCCATCAAATCAAAATACATATTTTGTGTATGTGTGCGTATTGTTTTGAATACAATGTCAAATAAATTGAAATATATTCAAGTTTAATTGAAATAAAAATAAAGGTTTTTTTTTGTTATGGATGAAACAAACATTTTATGGTATTCCCTACTGGATTGTGGGAAGAAATCATAACCTTTCATTCATTTTTCGCGTTTTTAGTTTTCTGTTGAAAAAATGTCAAATAAACGAAACACTTGTTGCGTATATTTATTTTATTTTTGGCAAAAGAGGCCACGCGTGCATAGTTGTTTTTTTTTGTTATTCACCTCAAGCTGCCCTACCTTGTTTTATTGTACCATGGATACAATTATTCAAGGTAGGCTATATATTGGTCTGTTCCCGTACTACAAGAATTGTGGATTTATTATTTTTGTTATTATCATTGAATTTCTGATTGTAGTATTACAAAATGTATATAAATGTATTTATAGATTTTAGTTTTTTTTTTTGGGTACTGTATTTAGTTAATATAAGTTATTGGCCATTTTTTCTTTTTTATATTACAATGAAGTGAGTTAATAAATGAAATGAATCTACTAGTCTTAAACGGCATATACATTAGAACTTTTTACCAGGCTACTTTATGAGGATTTATTTGACAATTAAACAATGGATTTGATAATTTAAATCCACTGGGTTAACAAAATCCGGATTTATTTGGCATATACGTATTTATGTAATCTAAAATAATAGTTAAAATTAGTAACTTCTTGAAGAACAGGAACATACAATATATTCTAATTTTTTTTATTTTACAACATTGATCACGGTACAATTATATAAGGTAACTGCAACAAATACAATTCAACAACAACCACATAGAAAATTGTTATTGTATGCAGCACTAGTGTCAGTTTGATATGACGAAAAATGTAAACATATATACGAAATATCAATAAATTTGATTTTTTCAAAATATAATATTTTTGAATTTTCAGAATAAAATTGAAAAAAAACATGAATGAAAATCTTGCTAAAAATAGCGTTGAAAATTGCAATTTTTCATTGCAAAAGGATTTGCTGCTTCAAATCTTCCCATTAGGAAATTGAAGTAAATTGTAAAGCAAAGTGCAACGAACTTCTGTTGCGATTTCTTTGATTTGAAAATATATAATTGTTACTCCCGCGATTAGTACTCTTTTGAATTAATATAATTGGAATTCTCATGCGAATTCGTGGTTGTAACATTAGTTCAGAAAAAAATAAACGCCAATACTATATTTTGCCATCGTATGCAGATTTGGGAATGAAAATATAGTAAATGTAAAACATTTTACATTGTGTTGTTTTTTCGGATTCCCTATACGCTGTAAAGCTCCATTTGTGTTAAGTATTTTTTTTTTCAAATATAATGTGACCAAAATTTTCCTGCTGGGTCTTCTACATAAATTAAAAATGTCATATCGAACTTGACACGAGTATTACGATACAATTAAATCAGCTTAGTATTGCAGTACATCAGCTTGTATAATTGTACCATGAACATAGATATGATTTATGGACACTTTTCCAGTAACATTTACTCAGTAAAACGACATATACATTAGAACTTTTTTTATTTGACAAATATGTAAGGGAATTGACAATATAAATCCACTGGATTAACTTAATCCGGCACAATGTAAATGTACTATAAGTCCTATTTTGGATAGTAAGCCGTTTTATTCTCTCTTGTAGTAATACTAAATAAACAAAAAATTACAAAATTTCACTTAAAATGCTAGAAATTTACCTTTTTTAATTATTAAAGAAGTAATTTTATAAAATAAAAAAACATGTTTTGACTTTCGTCGAAAGAGGGAAACACATAAGAGGATTCAAGCCTGGCCTATTAAGTTGGCTTTGTATGAAATGTCAATTTATAAAGGAATATCAGAGTCATACTTGTATTTGGACGCCGTTCTCCTTTATTCTTTTACAATAAAAGAAGCCAACTTAACACGCCGATCCTGCAGTCCTCTTGTGTTTCCCCCTTTACTCTAGTTAAGAGAACTTCAGGCTTGGCATGTTAAGTTTGCTTTTTATATTGTAAGAGAATAAAGGAGAACGGCGTCCAACATCAAGTTTGACTCCGATATATCTTTATAAATTGACATTTCATAAAAAGCCAACTTAATCCTCGTGTGTGTCACTTTTCACTTCAAAATACGTTAAAATTTTTTAAAGTTTTTGCATGTTGCTACGTTGTGAAGTGTAGATGACAAACAACAGGCGACAGATTCTCAAACTAATCCCTATTTAAAAAAAAAACCAGTGTGGGCATAAATCGCTTAAGATGGCAGCACTAGTCGTACGCTGTGCTCATGTTTTGAGTAGTTGGTAACCGCATAATTCGCCATTTTGAAAAATGTAATAGAATAACAGAACAAGCAGGGTGTTTTATACTTGAGTTTTTTCATTCGTGCTCCGCGTTTTGGTTTGAGAAGTTTGGGTTTTGCTGGCCCAAACAAAGTATTTTACTTTCTGACTTTCAATTTAGTTATACACACACACACAGTTTAATATGGATCGTAAGTGTTGAGGAAATTATTTAAAATTGATATACAATAATTTTGAGTTTAAAAAAATAAAGGTTATGGTCAAGGAGGAGGCGGTAGCGGCGGAGGTGGTGGATACAACAATTTTTCTGTACCTCCACCAAATTATCAAATGGGTTCCGATGGCGGTGGTGGACCGTATAGCAAGCCTCCTCCATCGTACAATAAACCAGGAGGTAAATATATAACTTGGTTGCTTTTAGTATCGACATTAAATATTAAATATATTGCAATTTAAGGTTACGATTCCGGCAATCGTGGTGGTAATTCAGGAGGTGGTTGGCAAGATCGCAGTGGCGGCGGTAGCGGAGGATATGGGTATGTATTTTAACTTATTCCATTGTATTAAGAGTGGATAAACAAATGTATCCGAAGCGTCCAATCAAGGCAGACTGATAATATCCCAAAATAAGTTTCCATAAATATTCCATAATATTTACGGCGTGTTTTTAAACTATTTTGCTTCTCAACTCGACGATTGTAGCCATTTTGTTGAAGATGTTCTATTACAATTCTCATTTTTTTTATGGGAAAGTGTTGCAAACATGAACAAATTGATTTTGCTTATTTTCGGCGGTGCAATAGGCTATTTAAAACATAGTTGCAAAAGTGTATGGCGTTTCATATGGAGGTGTTCATATTTTTTGCATTTTCCATTCAAAACTGCGACATTTTACTGAAATGTTTACGTACTTTTTCACAGAATTCTACTCGGCTAAGAAATTTAACCGGCGAAATATGAAAAAGGATATTCGTAGTCAATCGAGTTTAATACAAAAAATATCAGTAGTGCAATTCTGTAATTTTTTTTTCAACATTACCAACAAATATCGGTAAAATTAAAACACAAATGTTTCATATAAAAACTAAAATTTATGGTAACTTTATATCTGTGGGTAGGACTTACCGACTACTTTAATTTGATCATTAGCTTGCCGAATATTTTCGTTAATCTGGCGTTAAGCAGATATCATTGCAGATGTAAATAAGTTTTCGGAAGGCGGGCCAAAATACTTAAAGAGAAAAAAATTGTTCTTCAATTATCTGCATTCACGTCAAATAATGATTTAATATGCGACAATTTTATGATATAGTTATTGTATTATGATATATCTACCTACATAAAGAAATTCTCAATTTAGTCTGTAATTTTCTGAAACTTAAACATTTTAGTACGTTCCGAAATTTTAAAACTAATATTTGTTACAGTTTGTTTTTATATAAATAAATTCTAATGCAACAATTAATATAGTTAAATTAAAAAATATTGTTTTTTGTATGCTGTTGTCATCAGAATCTTTAACAGCAATTTTGACGTATTGTAACGACTTTCATAATACCGATTTGTCGTACAAATACGACAGTGGACAATTTTCGACACTACTACGCCAACCCTAAAAAGGATGAATAATTCGTTTGCAATAATAATAATAAGTTTTAATAACGTGGTATTAAAGAACGCCTTCATCTATATTGCATTAAAAATGCATTAATTGTCAAATTTACTAAATAGTCATATAATACTCGACAGGGTATGTTTATAGTTTAAATCGGACTCCAGTGTTTTTTTTTTGAGAAAATGCCGACAACAGAATAACATAAGTAACAGATTTTTAATGTGTTTATGTCCTCTTTGCGCTCTTTTAATATTTTGAAAATTGTACAAATATTCCATCATTCTCTCATTGTCAAAAGGCTAAATACCTATCTGCTTTATCAATAATTTAGCTTCATTAGCTTTACACGGAGATACCTGGTAATATTGTTTTAAGATTGCTCAGGCAATTTATTATATTTAGTAAAAGGATTATTTTTAGTTCAAATGTACAAGATGCCGTCTACTTGTATATGCCGAACATACGAGCATTTACCCCAAGTCTGGATAACTCGATTTCGTTTTAATAGTTGAGAAGCAATAGTTGTTTTTTATGTACAATTCAACGGATTTTTAATATATACATATATTTTTTGCTAAATATTAATAAATTTCAAGAGTATTTTAAAGATCCCCATACAAAAAAAAAAAAAAAAAAAAATATCTGACCCTAGACGCGTCGCTAACGATATAATGGTATGAGAGTGGTATGAGTTATAAAGGATTCTTCGTGTACTGAATAAAGTACTGTAATACAGTTGATTGCAATATTGCTTGAAATAAATATGGTTTTGAAATATTGGTAAATACTCTCACTGCGTTTAATCAAAATAAGGTCTACAACAAGGAATCAACAATTAAGTTGTGGCGGTATTTGTTATTACAAATGTGTACTGTGTTCATTATGTAACATAATTATTTAAAGCGTACAGAACAGAACAAAAATATCATCGAAGATGTATCTACGCCTCTTGTCTGACATACCCGAACCGCAAGTTACAGATTGTGAATCCACGATTAATTATATATATTTTTTTGAATCTACAACTTTGCTGAAATATGACCATAATGTTAAATGATGCGTTACTATTACCAATCCTATTTTAGAAATGGAGGCGGCAACAAGGACAGCTACAATAAAGGTAAAATCAAATTGCAAGCATTTATCAAATTGCTATGCAATTAACAAAATGAGTAATGTATAACAATTTGTAATTCAATTTATTTTTTTTATTTTCTACTTAACACGACTAAGATTTCTATATTATATAAATATATATAGGTGAAATAAGTCACTTTAAAGTATACGTTAAATTGTAAAGAATACGATTACTTTTACCAATGTTGTAGTGTGCATTTTTCCAATTCCATCGGATTCTGTTGTTGTAAATACAGGACTATTTCTCCTACATATATTTATATATTTTTTGATGAACTGTTTTGATTGAATGACTGACTTTATGGTATATATTAGTATTCGTGGGGACTTACATTTCTGAAGTGTTTAAATTGAAATACTTTTTTTACCAATCATCTCTAAATTCCTGTGTATGAAAATACAAGTAATATTTCTAAAAGTAAAAATGAAAAGAAGAGTTACTACTACTGGTTAATAAAGGTTAACACAAGATGTATTGTTAAAGGTTGTAAGAGTGTAATTCAGTAAAACAAGAATGTTTGTATGTGCGTAAAAATATTCTCAACAGAAGTCTGTAAATGGGTTTGAACTTAAAAAGTACATTCAAGCGTGTATGAAAGAGTATTAATTTTGGTAAAACATTGTTAAAATATGGTTAAAATTGACAAAAAACAAGTGTGTCTCACGAAAACTGCATATTCAAATCAGTAAATTGAAAAGAAAACTTTTCGATCCATTTGGTACGAAGTGTACGGATTAAAAGTGCATCTGTTTGAGTGTATCATCATAGTCTTCTTCAGTTAAACTGAGTGTAATAATAAATGTAGATTGACATATTATTTCTTTATATATTTGTAAAATTACATGCTATACAAATATTAATAATAACACACATTGCAGGTGGTGGCGGTGGATACGGTGGTAGTAGCGGCGGTGGTGACATGATTACTCAGGAGGATACCATCTTTGTATCTGGCATGGATCCATCAGCGACCGAATTGGACATTGAAACTCATTTCGGAGCTATTGGTATAATTAAAGTATGTGGATTTGATTTATTCTACTTGTAGAAACTTATTAATACCAAGTCTTCTGTTTATTTTTTGCAGAAAGACAAACGTACCATGAAACCAAAGATTTGGTTGTACCGTAATAAAGAAACTGGCGTTTCTAAGGGTGAAGCGACCGTAACTTACGATGACATTAATGCTGCTCAATCAGCCATTGCGTGGTTTGATGGTCGCGATTTTAACGGATGTATTATAAAGGTGTCCCTAGCTCAACGACAAAATAATTGGAACAAAGGAGGTGGAGGTCGCGGTGGTGGCGGCGGCGGTGGTCGTGGCCGTGGAGGTGGCGGCTTCGGTGGTGGTGATCGCGACCGTGGAGGCAGCCGTTTTGATCGAGGTGGCGGCTCAGGCGACTTTGATTCAGTTCGCGGTGGTGGCGGTGGTGATCGCGGACCCGGTGGAGATCGTGGTGGACGTCCAAGAATGGGCGGCCCCGGAGGTGGTGGTGGAAACAACAACGTTGCTCCCCGTGAAGGCGATTGGAGATGTAGTAGCTGTAATAATACTAACTTTGCTTGGCGTAATGAATGTAATAGATGTAAAACACCAAAAGGCGATGATGACGGTGGTAACAGCGCCGGAGGCCGCGGGGGCGGTGGATATGGTGGCGGCGGCGGTGGCTACAACAGAGATAACCGTGGTGGTGGAGGTGGCGGTTATGGAGGTGGTAATCGCTTTGGAGGCGGCCGAGGAGGTGGTGGTCCCGGTGGCGATCGAGGCGGTCGACGTGACTTTGGTGGAAACAGTGGGGGTGGAGGTCCCATGCGTGGTAATAGCCCTGGAAATAACCGATCACGACCTTATTAATTGGAAGTCGCTACTAAACCAACACAGCGGTATTTTAAGTTATTTCAACAAAAGAAAAACGTGACGTCATTCAACGCAATTCTTAATTTTTAAGATAATTTTATGTCTCCAATTTTACAAGTTTATGTAAAAACCTCCTTCCTAAATATTTGTCTATGATTTAATATGTATGTATTTGATAAAGTACATTCGTCCTCATTTTACCAATTTTGTATGTGGAGATATGGAAAAAATCACGTGACAAAATTTAAGTTTTTTTTTTTTAAATTAAGATCATGAATAAATATAAATATGTAGAAAAATAATTGGTGTTATCGATTTTGGTTACTTATTTAAATGATGACGATCAATATTTCTGAACAGACAGAACCGATCCAAACTTTATGTACGACATTGGTGAAGATTCTTTAACAACTTGCTCCTGGTTGACTTCCAATTCTCAATGGTAGTAATAACCCCTATTTCTATGTCGACATCACTTCGACATGGATTTGGTATTCTGTAACACTCATGCGACGATGTCGACTATTTAACGATAATATTAAAACAATAAACACATCTTTAAAATTGTAGTCAGCAGTTTATTTTGTTTGATATTTTTGTGCAAAAATGTGTTTGTATCCTTCACCGCACTGTGGCACAAGACATGTCATGGTACATGTGTTTGCAAGATCCAAAAGGAAACGAGTTAGACCCATAGTTACTTTATATGGGCAATATTGCCAAATTTTTAACATAGCTGAAGCCGAGGTTCACACCTTTACAACTCCGGAAATATTAAGGTAGGAAAAATTGGATGTTTTGGATTTATTGATCTGTCGTTGCAAACTTTTCATGATATTGACCTCCAAAGTTTATTTACGCGGTTGCTGTGTCTACTTAATGTAAAAAATTGGGTAAAAACAGCGTGACTAAGCCATTCATTTCGTGACCTTCGTGCTAAAGAAAAAGTGGAAGTCTAAACAATGAGGAGTACGTCTCTTGTGTATCATTTTTCGAAAATGTATCTGCATGTATTATTGAAAATGTATTAATAGATGCTGACATTTTCAAGCTCGATTTTGAGTGTTTTTGGAAATTTTCTTTTAGTTTCAATGCGCTATCACAAATTTCCAAAAATTAATTCCAGGATTGTTGTACTTGCGATTCTGATTAATTTGATATGTATTTTGTGTACGTAGTATGTATTGCTTCATAGTAATACTCACCCGAAGGTGGAAATTTTGTGCGATCAAATTTCTAAAAAACCTATTTTTGGGGCCAAATTTTTATATCTGTCATTTGATTCATATGGGTACTAACGATTTTTATTTTTTTTAAGTTCCGAATAAAATAAAATCTTCCTCGCGAAAATCCATCTTCCTGGCCTTACAAAAGCACGAAATTTGGCAAAAAATGTTTTTATCTCAAAAATAGTGTGAACTGGGACATTCATGGTTCTTAATGGACCGCAATGAAATAGGTATAGATAGATGTATTTTTTTAGGGTGCACACCGAAATCGGATGAACGTTTAAAGCATATAAACTTTTCGATATAATTCACGTTTTACGAGCTTTTGGGTACTTCAATGCAACAGTCGAATGAAATTTCGTAAAATATATCTGGTTTGGAAGATAAAATTCAGTACTTCCTGGAAACCGCATGCGTATCAAATGAATTTGAGGATTACCCGATTTAGACGAAGCTTCATAATATAGTTTTATTTTAAGATTTATTACTATTTATAGAACCCCAAGATTTATCGGAAGGGTCTTGCTATAATCCGCAACGTAGTGCGAATTCCACAAAAAGGTCAACCACATAGGTGAAAAATCAATTCGTTAAGAGAGATATGAAATTATATAGGAAATATTCTTTGCAATCCGGACAATATATTTTTAGTTGAATTTTGAAACATAACGGTAGTTTTTCTTTTTGATGTCGCGTGGAGAGTAACTTGGGCATATATTTATTAGTTTTATAGTGTCATTTGTCGTAAGTGTGAACGCTGTTAGCTAAAACAAAATCAATAATAAGTATTTAATTCAAATAAAGTAATATCTTACTAATAAGTACATATATATGGGCAATATTGCCAATTTTTTAACATAGCTGAAGCGGAGGTTCACCCCTTTATAACTCGGGAATTACTTAAGTATATGAAAAGAAGTTAATAGTTTTGGGTTAATTGGTCTGTCGTTGCAAACTGTTCATAATATTGACCTCCTAACTTTATTTTGGTGGAAGCTGTGTCTACTTTAATGTAAAAAAGTATGTAAAAACAGATTGAGGCGAACCAGTTTTTTTTTATGTTCTCTATCGATTTGTGACTAAGCCACTCATTTCACGGTCTTCGTGTCAAAGTAAAACTAGAAGCCAACAAAATGGGGAGTACGCAACTTATGTATCATTTTTCAAAATTTTAACTGCATCTACCTTTAAATAATGCTGACATTTTGAGTGTTTTTTTAATTTTACTTTTAGCCTTAATACGCAAACAGGAATTTCTAAAAATCGATTATATGATTATTGTAGTCGCGAATCTGCGTAATTTGATAAGTATTTTGTGTATGTAGTATGCACAGTTTCAGAGTAATACTCATCAAATTTCTAAAAAAACGCCAAATTTTTAGATCTGTCAACTGAATGATATGGGTACCCGCGATCAATAAAGTTTTTACGTTTCGGATGATATAAAATCTTCTTCGTGAAAATCCAACTACTAGAACAGCGGGAACTGGCCTTCCAAAAGCACGAAATTTGGCAAAAAATGTTTTTGAAAATATTGCGGATTTATTTGCGTTTTGTGTGGATCATTTCCGCTTCTATTAATGACCTCATACGGATTTTGATCTGTTTCGAAAAGAGAACTTTAAAAACTTCAGCCGAAAGAGAGATGTACCCAATTTATCTCAAAAGTAGAGTGAGCTGGCACATCCATGCTTCTTAATGGACCACATTGAAATCGGTATAGATCGATGTATTTTTTTAGGGTGCACACCGAAATCGGATGCGCGTTAATGGCATATGGAGTTTTTGGAAATTATTAGCGTTTTCCGATTTTTTGGGTACTTCAATGCAACGTGTGGCACATCTTAGCCGTCAAATGAAATTTCGAAAAATATATGTGGATTGGAAGATAAACTTCAGTACTTCCTGGAAACCGCATGCGCATCAAATGATTTTGAGAATTATGCGATTTAGACGCAATTTAAAATGTATATTTCATAATATTATTTTATTTTAAGATTTATTCCTATTTATAGAACCCTAAGATTTATCGGAAGGGTCTTGATATAATCCGCAAGGTGTATACTTATACACAAGAAGTGATTATTTTTATATATGTCAATTTTCGGCGAAATTCGGGTAAAATAACAGAATAACCCCAACATTTTTTCTGAAATTGCTTGTATAAAATTAAAAAAAATAAATATGATGACATTATTTTTTCGAACCAAAAACAAATATTTTTCCTCAATATTTTGTTTTGTTGTGGCTGTGATTTACAAACCGCTACACGGACTTGTGTGATTTTGATATCATTTGATTCATCATGGTGTTTAGATTATGTAGATATTTTTAAATTTTTAGGTGTGTGTATGTCATTAATCACCCCTATTCCGTAAGTCGTCGTCGTTGTCGACGACGTTTCTCTTTCGACATCACTTCGACACTGATTTGGTATTCTGTAACACTCAAGGGCTAAGCAGAATGCACGCGTTGAGCCATCCGTTGCGTTATGTGTTATCGAAAATACAACAACCACAAGGAAACGATAACACAAACGCTCGAATTTGTTGTTCGCTGCGCTTCGGAGTTAAATATATTTTAACTTTTTGCGTGCGTTAACGCGATAACAAAAAACGCTCATCGCGAACATTCTGTTTGGCCCTTCATGCGACGATGTCGACTATTTATCGATAATATCAATAAAAACAAAAAATACATCTCTAAAAAAGTGATCAGCTATTTATTTTGTTGCATATTTTTGGGGCCAGTCGCTACTCAACATATGTTGATGCTAGACTGCTTTTTCAACCCGTCTTTCGCTATTCCGTCGTTTCTGTTTATAAACAACAAATACACGGTTCTGCGCGCTTTTTGTTATTGCTTTGAATTTTTTTCCTTGTTTTGGAACTGGAAATAGTTCTTTTTCTTCGACGAATAAAATCAATTTGTAATTGATTTTGTTTTCAAATTAAAAATGGATGCGGATGGGGAACCGCCCCACAACCACCTCAAAAGCCACTTTGGGATCCCAATAAAAGACGAGCCCATCTTATTGCTAATCAAAATAAAAAATTTATTAACAACGAAGGCCTTCCAATAAAAAATCAAAATGGCAATGACAGCTCAATTAGCAAGTCGGATGAGTCTGGAAATTCTGACGGCAAAGAAAATACAACAAATCCAACAATGTTATACCCAAGCAATCATCCTGGGCCCTTTTATGTCATTGTGACCACAAAAGAGCCAATTGCCACCAGAAGGAAAAATTGTGAACTGCGGTTGTATGTTCTCCTGCAAAAAATAAACATAAAAAATAATTATGTATGCAAGAACTTTGGATATAACACCTTTCGACTTACCTTTAATAATTTTGCTTCGGCAAATGAGTTTGCCCAAAATCAAAAACTCCAAGATATTGGTCTAAATGCCATGATCCCTGATCGGTTCATTCAACGCTTCTTTGTAATTAGAAATGTCCCAAAAGAAATTGATACATCTACAATTAAGATATCCATTATGCAGAACAATCCCATGGAGGTCATTTCTGTTCAACGTTTTACAAGGAAAAACTTGGAAAATGAGATCGAAGAAACGGAAACCGTAAAAATTGGAATTATTTTTGATGGAATCCCGAAATTTATTTTTATGTGTGGAACAAGAGTTACACCCGAGCTTTATGTTCTTCCCACGCGACAGTGTAAAAAATGTGGACGTTTAGGTCATATTGCAATTCGCTGTAAAACCAAAAAAAGGTGCCTCGAATGTGGAAAATTAATCGTTTGCCTAAATGA